GGGTTTAGGGTTTAAGGATTTTTGGGTTTGGGCTGTAGAGGGCGTAGATTTAAGGTTGCTTAGGGCTTTGAGGGGGTTGAGGGGTTTTTAGGGTTTATAAGGCTTAAGGGTATAAGTATAAGGGTTATAGGGCTTTTCGGGTTTAGGGTTTGAGGATTCTGGGTTTAGGCTGTAAAGGGTTTAAGGATTTAGGCTTCATCGGGTTTAGGGTGTACATGGGTGTACTGTAACCGTGATTTACTGTTTAGGTGTAGGGGTGCGGAGAAAAAGCGCTGAACAAGTCAGGCAAGACGACGCAAAGCTGTGGGAGTTGCAGAAAAGAGGAGCCTTGAGCACAGTGATTTAGGGGCCTTAATGATTAGAATAGGGATTTTGCGTATAGAGTACTAAAGTCTGTAGTTATAATAAGGAGCCTCCAAAATAGTACGTTATTCGGCACATCCCCCTTATAGACCCTATTGTAACACCCAAATATTCTTATAAGGCCTAAACCCTAAACCCTAAACCCTAAAACCCTAAACCCTAAAACCCTAAACCCTAAACCCTAAACCCCTAAACCCTAAACCCTGAGTGGCACCGTCATCTTCTAGGACCCTCGAATCCTAATGGGCACGCACAGAACCCTGAACCCTAAACCGGCAGCCCTAGGGTTTAGGGTTTAGGGTTTAGGGTTGCGCCTCCTCGCCTAAGCCACTAAACCCGAAACCTTACGCCGTCAAATGTAAACACTCAACCTTATTTCCTCACATGTAAACCCTAAACCCTATCCCAAAAAACGTGAAACCCTAAGCCCCAATGATTATAATATAGGGGCATAAATAACTACCAATGCTATTTTGGGGCTTCCGTATAATGGCTTTAGTATAGTCTATATACCCCAAAGCCCTATTCTATTTTTCTAACTATCAAGGCCGCGATGACTACACCTCGTCTTCCAAGGTCCCCGGGCATCGTGGCCGCCGATGAAGGTGGCGGAGACTGCGATTCGCGGAAGAGGCGACCATCCTCGTTGGCGTCTGCATTTAAACAGCGTTGAGTCTTTAAGCCGCAGGGCTTCTAGATACGGTTTCGGCTTTCGGGCTTATAGGGTTTAGGGCTTAGGCCTTGCAGGGTTTGGGGTCTATAGGGCTCAAAGAACTCAGGGTTGGGGGATGAGAGGGTTTCTGCAGCAAGTTGCAGGAGACTTCAAAGGAAATGGCAACAGAGGACACAACGTGGCATCTCGAGAAGCCGACGTGCATGCGCTTGTAGGGTTTTGAGGTTTGAAACCCTATACCCTAAACCCTAA